AGTGTTTTTAAGACAGTGACGTTCGTTTCTTTTCTACTGCGCATGCGTTGCAGACGACTTCAATCACATGAGATTCCACGACAGCCGTAAACCCGCCGGTGGCGTACTGTCACCTGACGTCAGCGCAAGCCCGGTAGGTGGTGCCACCACGGTGATAGAGTGTGGCGTCTACTGCTTGGTGTCTCCACCGTGTTTCGGCTTCGTGTGGATCGAAGGAGGAGGGGGAGGAGGAGGAGGAGGAAGAAAAGGAGGATGCGAGCTTATCACCTCGATGCTGCGTGGTGAATACACAATTCCCGATGGAGGGAAATACTATAGAGTGTAACAGCGACCACGTCAGGAGATAAATTGATTACTTGGCGTTTATACGCGTATAATGCGACTTTTATTTCTAATTCTTTCATACATTTTTATTTAAGTAAAGATCAGAATACCTGAATTAGATATCTCTACTTCATGCAATCTCGATAAAAAGAAATACTGATGCATTAAAATAACAGATTATTCGTTGTTTGTGTGTAGTGATGAAAAGGTTATGTCTTCACTGATGTACTTTTATATTTTTCTTGATCAAAGGAAATTCTTTGATGTATTCGGACCGTAGCTAGTGTGTGAGGGGAGGGTAAGGGGCAATTCCCTCCAGAAAAATTATATACAATACATGATCAATAGCGGTCAGCTTCCCAGAACAAACCATGCATGTGGCTTTGCACCCGCCCAAGCAAAATGGGTTAGCTACGCTCCTGGTATCTTTACTGCTATTCATTCGCTCTTAGCATTTTGAGCGTACTATATTGAGCTATTGTAGTGTATAAATGTTTGGCGTGTGTTAGCCATATTTATTTATACTGTATTTAGTCATAATTCTAGGGATGAAGGTGAGGCAATTCCGCGCACTGTTTATATTTTAGGCAGACGACCGTCCGTTGCTCACTGCGTTGACTATTTTCAATGTAACATTTTCAACATTTATCTACATTGCCGCCAGTGCCGCTATAACTACCAGCTAGAACTTTNTTATTATTATTATTATTATTATTATTATTATTATTATTATTATTATTATTATTATTATTATTATTATTATTATTATTATTCAGTGGCGTGTGTGTGTGTGAATATTGGCGGTTGTTGGAAGCTGCGAGCGTCATTACACCATGGCAACACAAATATCATGTCAGCTGCCTGTCTCCTATGTCATTGCCCTGTATCGTTACACGTTTGGTACATCATGTCCTGCTAGCTATATCATACGGTATTTGCTACATCGTTACATCTCTGCTACATCATGCCATCTGCTTGTTACATCGTTACATGTCTGCTACATCATGCCATCTGCTT